TCTATTTTACATATTCCTCGTTACATAAGAAACACGTCTGTCGTTTTACTCGAAGGTATCGATCGGCGTATAACCTTCCAATCGAGGATCGAGGAAATTGTTGGTGTTAAAATTGAAAAATCAATCGATATCTCGCTTATTTTATTCGTCCGATCATCGATTAGATTTACCGTTAACTCGTTTGAGACGATTCTATGAAAAATAAATGCGATTTTCCATCGATTTACCGTCAAGCAAGTTCAAGAATAGCTAATAAAAGCTTGAAGCTTTCGATGTGATTTATGATCGAGCTTGCAAAAACGTGACTTGAATTTCGAAGAGAAATCGTGACGAATAAAATGGTGATTTAAGCATTCTCGGCTTTGAACGCCGAAAATGGAAGAGAAATCGTAATGTAAAAGTGAAAATATTCCTAACATTGATATATTAAACCTAAATATACCGGGTGTCACAATTACCAATGGAAAAATTATTCGAAAAATATAATATGAAATAGGGCAAAATTAGAAACGAAATAGATAGATAGAGTCCCGAATTAAAACTGAAAGAAAGAGACTCGTTAATTAAAATTAAATTCGTGCTTTCGTCTTTAAAATGAGATCGAAGAAGAATTGCGATTATAAGTCAATATTTAACATGAAATTGTTAAATGTTTGAAAATTGTTTCATTCTAAAGAAAAAAAAGATCGTTAAAAAATTATATCGAATAAAAATGTTACTTTTTAAACTTTGAAATATTCAATATAAGAAAGAAATTTCGTAACGTAAATTTCCTTTTGATTATAATTAATGTTTTGCGATTTAAAACGAATAGATATATCTTTTATGCAGTTTCCTTGAATTATTAATACACGCAAGAAAAATACTAATTCTCTGGAGGCCGTCGAAGCAAGAAACCTATAATAACTCGTCGTAATTTATTCTCTTGCGATTCATAGAAATTGATTATGAGTAACATCATAATATATATAAAAATCATTCAATAATTTAAAAAGAAAAAATTCACGAGAGAAATGAACATGTAACTTAATATCACACGCGATTGTGGAAAGATCGAATCAATTGGTGACCTATCTCTTATTTTATTTTATTATTATCATTGATAAGTCACAATTTTAAAAGAAAAATAATCTTTATAAAAAAATAATAAGATATTCGCTCTCTAAATACGAAATTCTTGTATAATTATAAAACAACGTTCGTATAACGGTACAATTAAAATTAATTGAACTACGTAGAAACACAATTTTCTTACACAATCGTATTCGAAATCTCCAAGTGTGCCATTATGTATCCAACACACGTGACAATGTCGAGTCTTCGTTGACGATCTCGAACGAGATCTCTATCCTCCTATCAGATATACTCTATTCTCTCTCTTTCTCTCT